AAAAAAGTAATACAATATTGCATGAAGATTTATAAATCATTACATTTTATTATGCAAGTCAATGTTTTCACAATAAAATTGGTAACAACCAAGCGATGATGGTAAAAGTCTCAAGCTATATTTATGATAAAAATGAATATTTATAGTAGATATAAAGTGGGGGATCTGTTTTTACTTTTAACTGAATGTATGGATTTTTTTTTATGTCGTAGGATTTTTTTTTATTTCCCAAAAAAGGTCAGCACATAAGAATAAAATCATCCTTGATAATGGCTAAAATATATATCCAAAAGCGCTCGTGCGTACAGAATATTCGGACAATTTTTAGATAATTTATTTCCAGAAAGGAAGAAAATTATAAGAGCACAAGAAAAATTAAATAAAAAACATAATAGCACTTTATTATCAATGTCTTGACTGTTCAACTTGATTTTATTGTTCATATATTATTAATATATATGTGTGTATGTATATATATATGTGTGTGTGTGTGTGTGTGTGTGTGTGTGTAATTGTGTATGTATATATATATATATATATATATATATATATATATATATATATATATATAAGAAATTTTATATATATTATTTCTATATTATATATGCGCGGTACGTATTGGAAAGCGCTCAATATCAGTGATAGAGTTAACATATTCAGTTGAGTGGTGTGAGTTTGTGACTCTAGGTTTCACGCTATTTGCGATCGTCAGACGATCACAAATAGCGTGAAACCCAAATCAAAAATCTAACAACAATTATATATATATATATATATATATATATATATATATATATATATATCAGAAGCACCAGACCAGATGTGACTGCAATATTAAATGCATAGCCTTATAATTGTGTCAGATAGATTCTGGCGAGAAATAATGTCTAACGTGACACCGTGAGCCAATTTTCCTGGCAGCAGATCAAGCAATTTATTCAATATAACCATTCAACATCATATCAACTGAAAACGTTAGACCGAGGACGTGGAATGATTAACACTCTTCGAGGTTAGAATCGGCTATGCTGATAAAAGGAAAAAAGCTTCTCTCAGACGAGTAAAAAAGAGCAGTTTCGTTTTTGAGACGTTAAAATGAACAACCCTAATCTATTTCCACTTAATAGATTGTAGGTCTTTCTTTTCTTAGAATAGTTGACAATTTGACAAAAAATACTGGCTGTGCGGTCAATAAATGCCAAATGTTTTCTTTAAGGAAACGGCTTATATTACAATTATCAATACCCTAAATAATCCCTACACATTTTCCTTACTTTCAATTTTGCCTATATATATATATATATATATATATATATATATATATATATACCCAAGTATATAATTGGTGTATACGGAATGAATTCCAATAACCAACAATTACTATTCTTAAAAGGGTGCTCAATACAGTGTAGAGCAGATATAATTATCTATTTTAAAACAATTATAACGTAAATATATTATAAAATCACTACAAAATAGCCATTTTGTTTCAACACCTCCGGTGTCTTATCAAGTGATGGTGTTGAATGTAAAAATTTTACATTCAACATCATCACTTGATAAGACACCAGGAGTGTTGAAACAAAATGGCTATTTTTGTAGTGATTTTATAACATATTTATGTTATAATTGTTTTAAATAAATAATTATATATATATATATATACATATGTGTGTGTGTGTACATATATATATATATATATATATATATATATATATATATATATATATATATATATATATATATATAGAGAGAGAGAGAGAGAGGCAGAAAGACAGACATATACGGAGATAGAGAGAGAACTATCGAAAATCTGAGAATTAAAAATCGAACGTTGTAAGATAATGGATTCTAAGAGAAGTCACTAGTCCTTTCCCTCTTGTATGCTACCGTGATCTGCACCAAAGGGCTGATTGTGGTCCTGATAATTAAATCGATATAAGAGCGAGTTAACTTGACAACAGGGTAACGTTGCTACCAAACGAACTCTTTTGGCATGGGTTCTGCATTCTAGACACTCATGTGCATAGTAACCCATAATGAATAGGCCGTTGTTACTTTCTACATTCTGGTCTTGAGTTTCCACGAATTCGGCTGTATCACTTATCACTGGGCATCTCTGTAAACATTGATTATATATTGCTTCAAGTCATTTGAACATCATCAACTCAAACCCAGACAAAATGCCATAAATAACGTGACATATTTCGATACGACACCACGTAATTTAGATACAGGATATTCATAAATATAACATTTACAGGTACCATAGGTAATTAATTTCTTCATGGACATACAAGTAAAAATATAGATTTTTTTTTATTATTGTCCGTCAAATAAAAGTATCACAGACCACTCAAGTTAGAAGGACGTCTTCCACAACTTTTTTTGATTTTAAGAAAGCATTTGATCGTGTATGGCACAACGGTATTTGGCAATTCCTTAGGAAATTCAATGTAGATAATGGAATTATCCAAGTCATCCAGTCCCTATATAAAAATGCCACCAGCGCACTAAGTCGTTTCCATTTTGGAAAGCCCCTTTTGCATTTCTCTCATGCTCCTCATTAAATACTGCTGGCTTCAAAATAGAATCCTTAAAAAATGGTTGACTGAACATTGTTTGAAAAAAAACAATTATCCGAAAAACAATTATTCGAATTATAAAATATTTGTATGAAAATTAATCGAAAGGACAATTATATTAGGTTGAATTTTGCAAAAATAATGACGTAATAATGTCGTTTTTGACGTTAAAAATACATCAAAAACGACATTATTACGTCATTATTTTTGCACCAACCTAATACTAAATGATAATTATACGAAACGCAAAATTCTTTATTGCAATAAAAACGTAAAAATTAAAAGAGGAAATACAGAAATGTTAATTATTTGAAATACAAATATCGTTAATAATACAGTTAAGTAAGAAAAAATCATTATAAACTTAAGTCATAAGATACTGTACACAAATAGTCAACTACAGATGAGTACACGTTAAAAGATGCCACTAATTTTTTGAAAGTTTTCCATTTACGTCGCGGTATTTCTTGGTACTCTTGAGATTTTGACAACCTGCTCTTACTTTTGCAATATGAATTTCTTGCAAGTCCTGTTCTCTTTTAATAGCGTCTAAGAATTTCCACATTGTGGGATGATGGGATGACACTTCTTGCAAAAAGCTCTATACGATCCTACAAGGGAGTTATTAGTTCTAGGTAAATCGGCATTGACTCTCTCAAAGTAAAACCACCTCTATCTATGAGTTTTCCTTTCAGTTCTATTTCTCTTTCTCAGTCTGTCTCTCTCTCTCTCTCTCTCTCTCTCTCTATATATATATATATATATATATATATATATATATATCAGTTTTCCTTTCAGTTCTCTCTGTTTCTCTCCCCATCTCTCTATCTGTCTATCTATCTGTTTTCCTTCCCTGGTGTTCCTTCCTTCCTTCTCTCTCTCTTTCTTTCTCTCTTTCTCATGCACATACATTCTGTCACTCACATATATTCATTCTCTCTCTCTCTCTCTCTCTCTCTCTCTATCTATCTATCTATCTATCTATCTATGTTTTCCTTTCATCGTGTTCATTTCTTTCCCTCCCCCCCTCTCTCTCTCTCTCTCTCTATCACTCTCTCTAATGCATGTTAATTCCCACTTTCACACGCTCTATCTTTCTGTTTTCCTTCTTGTCCCTTCCCTCCTCTCTGTCTCTCTGTCTCTGTCTCTCTCTCATTTATATACATAATCTCTCTCAAACAATCTATCTATCTATCTATCTATCTATCTATCTATCTATCTATCTATCTGAATGTCTTCTTTTCAATCTATTCATATCTATCTATCTATCTGAATGTCTTCTTTTCAATCTATTCATATCCATCTATCTATCTATCTATCTATCTATCTATCTATCTATCTATCTATCTGAATGTCTTCCTCTCAATCTATTCATATCTATCTATCTATCTATCTATCTATCTATCTATCTATCTATCTGAATGTCTTCCTTTCAATCTGTTCATATCTATCTATCTATCTATCTATCTATCTATCTATCTATCTATCTATCTATCTATCTATCTATCCCTCTCGTTCTTTCAGTCTTTGTTGAGGTTTTTCTCGTGCGTTGAAACTTAACATAATGTTAAGTGTCTCGTCATGTTGCCACGCCCACGTTACTGGCGTCATGTGATTGATTGTGGACCCGTAATTGCTAACAATTTTCATATCCCTCTACCAACCTTTCTCACCCACATAATTTTTTTTTTTTTAAATCAATTTCTTTCATCTACCATTTCAACATCTACGTTCGATTTTAATTGGGCGACTTGCTTTTTCTTTTTCTTTTTTTAAAGCATAAATTTACAACATATCTTCCTTCTGCACGTCTGCATGTTTCCTTCGCGTAGTCTACCAACAAAAATAAATAAAAGAATACTTGCCTTTGTAATAATGGTTCATGAGTAGAGATGACAGAAAAAGAAACTAAAAAAAAGAAAAGAAAAGAAACATATACTCGAGGAGCGAAAGGCTAAAAAGAATAAATTCTTGCCAAGTGCTCAGAATGAAACGCTAAACATTTACAGACATCAAAAGAAGTACCTTTGTCGCCCGATTTTATAATATCCTCTCACCGCGTCCAAGACTGTCGCAAAAAGTGTTTTCTAAAATTATAGTTCTGGAAGCAAATACTGACTAACAAAATTTCTGACACGGATATTCAGAAAACTTAAAATGACTACTGGGTTACTTATTTTAGTGCGTCTTTTTACTTGCAATTATTGACACCTGACACAAACAATAGTTAGTGAATTATTTAAACAAATTAGACACAAATAATTAACAGCGCCTTTTTATAGCCATCTGTCACTTATATTATTACCAATTGTGTTTCTTTACATATTTGTAACCTTTTAGCAACTGTAGATAGCTTCAATAAAAACATTTCACTATTTTCATTTCATTATAGACAAAAAATGAAGGAAATTGTTTTCAACTAAATTGTCTAACGTCATCTTCGACATCTGAAGATGTACATTCGTCAAGACAAATAGAAAGGTAACGTACACGCATGGCCACAAAAACCATGGCATTTGAAGGGGGAAATTTCGATGTAATTTGTTGTAAGGTATCACAATAGACTACAGTAATAGAGATAGATAATAATATGGAGAAGGACATAAAATCAGACATGAGTGAGGCCATGGAAAGAAAACAGATGAAGTCTATGCAATGCCGAAACGTCGGCGCATTAATTTAAATTAATTTTAGATTCACATTAAATCAAAATGAATTTGCATCATTTCAGGTTTTTGACAGTTTAACATTTTAATGTCAGCTGCTTTCGTTCACTGTCTTGTGTGAAACATTTTCTCTCCAGAATCTATCTTGCATTTGTCTACAATTCGCCCATGCTTAGAATATGGCTGCAGCATATTGTCTGGTGCTCTTTGAGCTCTTTGAACAGATCCAAAGAAGAATCAGCAATATTATTGGTCCTGATCTGGCGGCTCGGTTTCAATCACTTTCCCATCGCCGTAAGGTTGCCTATCCATGTATTTTCTTTAAATACTTTTTATGGTAGTTGTTCGAATGAGCTCTTCGCTATGGTTGCTAGACATTTTGAATTTAAGCGCAGTACTGGACTGGCATCGAGATCTCATCAATTGACAGTTAAGCTGATTCGATGTAGCCGTAAGTTCTATGCTAATAGTTTCTTCTTTCAGACTTCCCACTTGTGAAACTCCCTTCCAGCCCTATGCTTTTCAGCCAATTTAATCTGCAAAAATTTAAATGCAATGTCAATAAAAATGGTAAACTTTGCTAATATTTGAACGAGAATATGAAATATTTTCTGTGTTGCATTTTACAAACAAGTAATATACTGTCTATATTTCTGCGATAAGATATTATGTACACTATTTACATTATTCGGACTATTGTTCTCATCTTTGTCACCATATTTATTACAACGTTTCGGCCTTTCAGTATCTGTCTATATTTCTGAGATTAGGTATTATGTACACTATTTACATTATTCGGACTATTGTCCTCATCTTTGTCGCCATATTTATTACAACGTTTCGGCCTTTCAGTATCTGTCTATATTTCTGAGATGAGGTATTATGTACACTATTTACATTATTCGGACCATTGTCCTCATCTTTGTCGCCATATTTATTACAACGTTTCGCCCTTTTAGTATCTGTCTATATTTCTGAGATGAGGTATTATGTACACTATTTACATTATTCGGACTATTGTCCTCATCTTTGTCGCCATATTTATTACAACGTTTCGGCCTTTCAGTATCTGTCTATATTTCTGAGATGAGGTATTATGTACACTATTTACATTATTCGGACTATTGTCCTCATCTTTGTCGCCATATTTATTACAACGTTTCGGCCTTTCAGTATCTGTCTATATTTCTGAGATGAGGTATTATGTACACTATTTACATTATTCGGACCATTGTCCTCATCTTTGTCGCGATATTTATTACAACGTTTCGGCCTTTCAGTATCTGTCTATATTTCTGAGATGAGATATTATGTACACTATTTACATTATTCGGACCATTGTCCTCATCTTTGTCGCCATATTTATTACAACGTTTCGCCCTTTCAGTATCTGTCTATATTTCTGAGATGAGGTATTATGTACACTATTTACATTATTCGGACCATTGTCCTCATCTTTGTCGCCATATTTATTACAACGTTTCGGCCTTTCAGTATCTGTCTATATTTCTGAAATGAGGTATTATGTACACTATTTACATTATTCGGACCATTGTCCTCATCTTTGTCGCCATATTTATTACAACGTTTCGGCCTTTCAGTATCTGTCTATATTACTGAGATGAGATATTATGTACACTATTTACATTATTCGGACTATTGTCCTCATCTTTGTCGCCATATTTATCACAACGTTTCAACCGTTGTACGCTCCGGTCTTCTTCGGATGGTTGGAATGTCGAATTGAACACTTCATTTCGCTCACTGGGGTAGACTGTTCTAGTTCCACGTGCCATGGTTCATTTTTGCGTCATTTAGACGACAATTAAACCATCGCAACCTGTATAGCGCCGTAGCCAAGAAAACGAATCTCGACATTTAGGGTTTTAGGCTGACAGTTTCATTGTTACTGCAACTGTCTTTTATATGGATGAAAAACTGCACTTCATTAAATTTATACTTGAAGTACCATGATAAACACTGCGCAACTTCAGTATCTGTCGATATTTCTGAGAGATATTGGAGAGGGGGATTTAACATGAGATAACTGATAACTGATATCCATTAGGCATGGTACGTGAAACTAGAACAGTCTACCACAGCGAGCGAAATAAAGGGTTCAGATCGACATTCCAACCACCTGAAGAAGGCCGGAGCGTACAACGGCCGAAACCTTGTGATAAATATGGCAAAAAAGATGAGGACGATAGTCCGAACAATGTAAATACTGCTCGACTTATACACGAATTTCTTCAGGCACAAACCGGATGTTAACCGAATGACGACGCCACGGATTATGGAGATAAACAAATTGTCGCTCGGACAATCGATTTGCCCAGAATAATTGGATAAGCCTATGAAATATGACGGCTAAATCCTACGATCAACTTTGAATCTCAGTTTATCCCCCTTCAACTAAATGATACAAAGTGACTTAATATTAGTCTAGATTTTATACTAATATCAATGTTATATTTATTTAGTACACGTGTTTGAATACATATCTCCATGTACCTACTAAATATAAAAGATATAAAAATCAGAAAAATTGGATTCAAAAATATAAATATCAATTGTTTAAAAATTATGTCTATATATTAATGACACTTTCTCGTCTTTTGTCTTTACAAGCACACGCACATAAACACACACAAATCTCACTCTCTCTCTCACTCACTCACTCTATCTTTCTACATATATATATATATATATGGGAAAAATGTGTGCATATGTACACACACACACACACACACACACACACACACATATATATATATATATATATATATATATATATATAATTATTTATAAATTATATGCGCGGTACTTATTACAAAGAGTTTGTCTGACGATGGCAAAAGCGTGAAACCCAGGGTCACAAACTCACATCAATCCAACCAAATATATATATATATATATATATATATATGTTATATACCGTACCTATGAACACTAATGGGTATGTGCGAATCCTCATGAATACATTGAACATTATTGTATGTGTGTGTGTGGTGGTGGGTGATATAGTGATCCACTACTAGCAATGGTTTACCTGCTCCACAGCGCTGGCGAGTATTGTATTGTTTTTATATTATTAAGATTATCATTTCATTCCCAACCTCCGTTTTGGTTTTTACTCATTCAGTAACCCTTTCTAGATTACAACATATATATATATATATATATATATATATATATATATATATATATATATATACCTCATGAGGTAATTTTGGTGGCGACAGTAGTTTCAGGCTAAACGCAACCTCTGGATGTTGTCTTCAATGTCCACTTTTATATTTACATAAGCTTTATCTCAAATATTACGCCCTTTAATCAGGCACAAGCACACACACACACACACACACACACACACACACACACATATATATATATAATAAAAAGGCTTAAACACTAATATTCCATGGCCATAAATACGATCCAATTCCTCAGACCTACAAATTCAAAAAGAAAACAGAAAAAACAACTCCGGAAATAAAAACAGAATTTAGAGAGGGTGTAAGTATGAGAGTGTGGGTCGAATGTTAGAGCTAAAGAGAGGGGTAACAGACTATAGAAGGAGGGAGATTAAACCTTAACAGAGAGAATTTTAGGAGAGGTGAGTTGAAGGGGTTTAAGTAAGAGAAATATGAATTTTGTCGGATGTCTAATTCATAAAGATACATTTCGTGGTGACATACACACACCATAGACGATCTAATGTTGAAGATCAGAATAAGAGGGAGGGAAAGGAAAGAAGAGGTGGGGGGGAGAGAGATGGGGCGAAGGAAAATAAAACTGGAGAACATTTACTGAAAGGGCCGCTGTGTAATTGAGAAAATTTGACAAATTTAATATCGACTACAGGTTACAAATCAAATATAAACATATAAAAAATAAATGTAACGATTATCTAATCTAGCAAGGACCTATAATTTTATGTTCAAAAACACATGCGAATACACACATACATAATAACATATACGCGTATATGTTATTATGTAGTGTGTACTCGCATGTGTTTTTGCATGTGTATACATACATATAGGCGTGTACCCACATACACACATACATATACCCATGTACACACATATAAATATATATACATATCCACACAAATATACACATACACACACATACATATATATACATATACACATATACATACATCTGGTTCAGCATGTTAGCTCTATCTCTGATACTGAGTGCTTTCTAATAAGTACAGCGCCTGTAACATACAATTAATTACACCTACATATATACATATACACACACATTCACACACGCACACACAAACACACACACACACACACAGGTATATATATATATATATATATATATATATATATATATATATATATATATATATATACTAGCAGTAGAGCCCGGCGTTGCCCGGGGATATAACAGTAAGAGATAGATCAAGTATTGACCATCATAAAGACTGAAAAATAAAATTGACAAAGATTATTGTTTAAGGTTGACGGACACGCATGTCTTAATTAGTTTTTTGTTTTTTGTTTTTTTACGAATTGGTCAAACTCAAACAAAAACATTGTTTACAATCGTTATGAGTCTCTACCGATTGAATAGAATTTTATTATAAACAATTGTCTTGTAAATGGAATTTTTAAAGCATTCTGAATGTAAAAATAAAGAAAAATGTGTGCAAGACAATAAGAAACATTACATGCCAAAAAAAAAGTGAAGTTTTGTTGAAATCGGTTGAAAATTGTAGGTAGCCTTTCTGTAATCTTTTAGTTTTACAATTTATGATTTTTACTTATTGAATACAGTAAAAAAATTGCATATTTTGCTTGTGGTGATTCATAATTAGAATTCTGATTTGAATATATTTTCCACTCGTTGTTTCTAATACAAAAAATATTAACTTTATTTGGGTTTATTAATTATGATCTAACAAATCTTATTCATTTAGTAGCCTTTCTGTAATAATAATCTTTTACAATTTATGATTTTTACTTATTGAATACAGTGAAAAAAATTGGACACCATGTGTATTTAAAGTAGTTTCCCGTTCCAGTTATTATTTTTAGTTAGGACTTGTGTATGTTTAGATTTCATTATCTTTCCCTAAAGATAAAGAATTTATCCGATGTTTGTATTCGTACAATCAGTAGAGATCGTTAGATTATTGTTTAAGGTTGACGGACACGCATGTCTTAATTAGTTTTTTTATTTTTTTAATTATTAGGAATTGGTCAAACCCAAACTCAAACAAAAACATTGTTTTCAATCGTTATGAGTCTCCCGATTGAATAGAATTTTATTATAAATAATTGTCTTGTAAATGGAATTTTTAAAACATTCTGAATGTTAAAAATAAAGAAAAAAAGTGTGCAAGAGAATAAGAAACACTACCTGCCAAAAAAAAAAAGTAAAGTTTTGTTTTATCGGCTGAAAAATATAGGAAATCCGCTTCCATATTTAAAGGAACCCACACACACAAACAACCCGATGTGAGTTGTCCCCCTTCCATTTTCACGATGTCTCTTAATCGTGTTTTCAAATTGATTTTGTGCAAAAACAATTATATTTTTCCCATTTTTGGCGCTGTTAGAACCACCACAAGGTAATTTTATGTAGTCCTGTGAAGTTTTGTTGAAATCGGTTGAAAAATGTAGGAAATCCTATCCAATATATAAACGTTACAGACACACACACAATCTGCGTTTTATAATAAGTAAGATATATATATATATACACACATACAAATACATATACATATATACATTTTCACATACATATACATACATACACATGCAAACATAAATATATATATGTGCACACATACATATACATACATACACATGCACACATAAATATATATATGTGCACGCAAACACATCCATACACATACAGATATATACATATATATATACATATATATATATATACACACATACATATACATATATATATACACACACACATACATATATATATATATATATATATATATATATATATATAAAATACAAAAATACACACACACACATACATGCATATACACACATACATCCATACGCATCCAGCCCTTCATATATATACACATTTACCCACATATATACATATGGACATACGCATACGTGCTTTTTTATGAGGCCTTTTGTATATATATATATATATATATATATATACAAAAAAAAAGTATTTTTATGAGGCATTTTGTATATACAAAAGGCCTCATAAAAAAACAACTCATAAATAGTTCAAAATGTCCTCCGCTTGCTTCTACACACGCATGCACCCGTCGGAACATTGACTGGCGGAGCCTTTTAAATACTCTCACCGATAAAAATACAAAGGATTGAGACCTGGGGAAAGTTCAGGCCATGGAACCTCTCCTTCAATATCTCCCCTTGGTAGATGTTAGCCAGCATATGGTGAAGAATTTAATTAAAATGTGCTGGAGCCCCTTTTATGTATAAACCATATGCGTCTTCGTATTAGCAAGGCTCGAAGTATATTCGAAATAAAGTCCCTGTAGACATCTCCTGTAATACGTGCTGGAAGAACATATGGACCTACCAAACAGTCACCTAAGCTTACACATTAACTGATGATAATGACTAGCCTGTATTGCACCATGGGGATTCCGATCCGCCCACAAACCTTGGTCGTGTAAATTTGTTATTCCATCTCTTCTATATGTTGCCTCATCCATAAACAAGACTGAAGAGGTAAACAATGGATCGGTAGTTTGTGCAATAGACCATCGGCAAAGGTTCTCCCGTGGTGAGTGATCAGAGGGCGAAAGACACTGCACACGTTGCAAAAGATAAGAATAGAGAAGCTGCGCTTGAACTAACCTCGATCCGGTACAATGAGATGTATAACATGTTAGGGCCACACGACGTGTGCTGATACCTGAAACGTCACCCGACTGTCGGTAGAATGAGTTCTACGTAGTCAGGCGTACGAGCGGATCGCGGACTTCTTCATTCCATAATTTAGGGTGCCACTGATCCCGTCTCGGTAACGCGACGATAAACAACAGCAAAGTTTGAATGAAACTGTTGCTTTCGGTCAGGAAACGCAATCTGATACAGCCGTGCAGCCTCGTGCCTATTACCATTCACGCGGCCGTATGTCAAAATCATATCTGTCTGCTCACGATATGGATATCCTGCTATTGTTAACTCACGACTTGTGTAGGTAAACGTTCAAGACCAACTAGACACAAATGTACACGAAAGACAAATGTAACCTAGTCTCCATGGCAACAGAGCGCTATCTATCGTAAACTTTCTTAATACTTAATAACTTAAAACCGAATTATTTGCGGATATATGTTTATATGAATTTTTGTCCTTGTTTGGGTATGAGAAACCAACCCCAATGTTTCTAAAGGTATTTTTCAATGACCCTGTATACATATCTATATAATAAATCCAAATATCAGTGTGTCATTGTGTCACGCTTTTTAAACATTACTCCTCAAGGGCGTAACCCAACATATGATACCATATTTTAAGTCACTCCCACCCCGTGTGCAAATTAAAAACATTCCGAGCCGAAACCGGACCAGCAAGCCAGAAATTTTGGATTCCCAAGTTTTCTTTACTGCAATTGTTTTCGGATTTCTACTGATAAAAACAATTAAAGAGACAAAAACTCTCTAACTTTCAATAGCTCATGTTCAAATGCAAAACTGTCTGTTCACAAATTACAGTGTTTCAAAAAAAATGTCCATGTTTTCAACTTTTCTTCGAGAGGGCGTAGCTCAACATATCATACCATTTGGGAATCAGGCCAACTCCGTGAGCAAATTAAAAACATTCCGAGTCGCTAAAAAAACTTTAAAATGAAATCAAAAGCAAATGCAATCGACCACCGTCCTGGGTATGACGATAAACTACATCCACGTCTTGGTAAGACGATAAACTACATCTGCGTCCTGGGTATGACGATAGACTACGCTCAACAGCAAGGCCTCTGATCAGGAGGTTTTGAGGGACGTGGATCCACCTCTTAATTGCTGGTGTTCCCAGGTCCAGCCTGACCCGGAGTGGTAGCACTTGTCAGGGTCCGAGCTATGGGCAAATAGTTAACCCCTCTTAAACTGAGGTCAAAAGGTGGGGAAATAGGCTTTAATAACAGCAAAACCAGGAATACATTTTTGAAAAAAAAATATTACCAGCTATACATATTTGAAGGAAAATTATTCCCAGAAATAGATTTTTGAAGAAAACATATTACCAACAATAACAATATTGTCGGCATTAAATAACCCATTGAGGTTTATATGCCGTAAAACAAACCAAACCAAACCAATATATACTGAGATAGATAGATAGATAGATAGATAGATAGATAGATAGATAGATAGATAGATAGGAAATATTACCAGCAGTAAAAATCTTGTCGGCATTAATTAACCTATTGAGGTTGATATGACGTAAAACAAACCAAACCAATATATACCGAGATAGATAGATAGATAGATAGATAGATAGATAGATAGATAGATAGATAGATAAGAACAGATTGAAAGGAGGAGACTCGGATAGATAGATAGATAGATAGATAGATAGATAGATAGATAGATATGAACAGATATGAACAGATTGAAAGGAAGAGATTCGGATAGATATATAGATAGGAAATATTACCAGCAATAAAAATCTTGTCGGCATTAAATAACCCATTGAGATGTTGATATGCCGTAAAACAAACCAAACCAAACCAAAAACGACCAGATACAGAAACAATGACAAAATAAACCTCTTCATGGCTAGTATTCCCCCGTACGAAACAAGCTGATATAAAAAAAACGTACCCATCAGCATGCTATAGCAGCTGAGCATGCATGTGTGAAACAGAGAAGATTGAGGTTCCACCTGGTATTTCCGAGAAGGAATGAAATGCATCTATGTCGGCTTTGACAATGGAAGAACCCTCAGTGACGCAATTTTCATTCGAGAGTTTAAAGGTGTCAGTCTATAGGGCGTCACGGAGGAAATCACGAAGTGAGACCCAATTAGCATATTGTTAATGGAGATAGTTGTTGTGGATAGGAGATTCCTGTTTGATAGAGGATTGGAACGAAATATCAAAAGCTACCACAGAGTGGACAGAATTACTAAGAGAGCAGTGTTGCAAAGCTCGCCCGGAGCGAGGAGAGATAAGAAATAAATCAATTAGAGAAGCCTGTTGCTAGGTTTTGCCAAGGAAACGAGTAAGGAAGTCCACGATTGAAGTAAATAAGGAATTGGGAAATGGAAAAATTGAAAGTCTGAACACCGGTAACATCAGTCCCTTTAGAAATGTTTCAGCCACGTGTCTTGGGGAGCATTAAAGTCACCAAACACAAATATATTCGCAGATGGATGGAGAGAAAATGCCTTTTCTATACAGCCGGCTATTGTGTCTAATATATCACAGTCTTGGGAAGGTGGGAAGCGATAAAGGAAAAAGAGATAGCTGACAGTGTTTAGTAATGAAAGACGGAAACACATAAAAGAGTAGTTAGCGACCCTGAGAAACAATTCCCTGACCGTCTTATGAATAGGGTGTTCCTGTTTAACGAATGATTGAAATGAGTTATCAAGAAGACAGTGTTGCGAGGCTCGACAAAAGCGAGGAGAGGAGGTAAAAAATAAATCCTGTATAAAGGCCTGTTGCTTGATTTTGCAAGAAAACGAGTAAAAAAGTCCATGATTTGAGTAAGGGATTGGAAAATGGGAAAAAATTAATGCTTGAATACCAGCAAAATCAATACCTTTAGAATGTTTAAACCACGTGTCGTAATGCGCGTTAAAAACACCGAAGACAAAGATGTTCGCAGTTAGGTTGCGAGAGTACCTTTTCTATACTATCAGAAATTATGTCGAATATACCGTAGTTCTGTCGAGAGGGATAGGGAAAAAGGAAAAAGCGAAAGGTAACAGAGTTTAGTAACGAAAGACAGAAGCACATAAAGGAGTAGTTTAGGGCCTCGAAAGACAATTCCCTGTTGTTTATTTTATTATAATTTTTATTAAATTATTATGTATTTATAATATTTAATTAAAATAAAAAAATGTTTATTTTTTAAGATATGTCGTGTTATACATGATTTTTTAGTTTTAAAATAACTGTTATTTTGCATTTTTAATTTTAGAAGAATGTCATGATACGAATTATTATATTACGAACATTTAAATATCAATAGTGACCACAGAATTTAATTAATTTTTTTCTTTATGTTATGCGATGTTAAAGTTTCCACTAACACAAAAAAGAGAATGTCTCATATCGAGAATATTTAACATCGAAAAACATAAAGGAGAAAATTTTTTTTAATAATATGTGAAAATTTGCCTGATGATGGTCGAGAGACTGGAAACTCGTGTAGCAAAATTATGGAAAATAAAACATAACATTTTTTTTTTAAATCCATATTACAACAAAAATGTTTGCGGTTTCTCCCTTCTGTTTAATATATATATATATATATATATATATATATATATGTGTGTGTGTGTGTGTGTGTGTGTGTGTGTGTGTGTGTGTGTGTGTGTGTGAAAAGGGTATATAAATATAAATAAATATATATATGTATAATTATTTATATATTATATGCGCGGTACTTATTAGAAAGCGCTCAATATCAGAGATAGAGCTAACATATCTATCCAACCAAAAAAAAAAAAATATATATATATATATATATATATATATATATATATTGCTTGGAAAGCGATATCAGCAGCTATCATAGAGTGGTACGAGTTAACAAGAGGGCACTAATGTGAACGTTGGTAATAGCATGGAGAGGAGGTAAGAAATAGGTCCAATATAGAAGCATGTTGCTAGGCTTGGCTAGGGGAAATGACTTGAGTGAGATATTGGGTAATGGAAAAACATTTATGTCTGTATACCAGCACTATCAGTACCTTTGGAATGTTTCAGCCACTTGTTGTGGTGAGCATTACAGTCACCAAAGACAAAGATGTTCGCAGATGGATGAAGAGAAACTGCCTTTTCTATAGTGTCACCAGTTATGTCTAATATGCTGCAGTCCTGGGAAGAGGGGGAACGATAAAGAAAAAAGAGATAAATGACAGAGTTTAGTAACGAAAAACAGAAGCACATAAAGGAGTATTCTAGGGCCAGTGTTCTAGAGAATATTCGCAGACCATCGGAAGATTAAATCGGATGTAAACCCTTAAAGCCAGGCATGTGAATACTGGAAACTTTTCGATAAAGCGGAACCAAGAATTCATTGGTAACATTTGAAGAATTTAAGTTTAAAGGACAAAGATAATTTGCGACCGTTCCAAGAGAAAAGATTCTACACTGAAGAAGTTGGAACGGATACCACGAATATTGGAGACGAAGACAAGTTGAGCGGGGTGGGTGGATTTTTGTTTACTGATTTAGTTTATGTCTTTCTTTTTGTTGTGGTTTCCATGAGATTTGTTTTGAGAGAGAGAAAAGAACACTGTAATTGTCATTATCTACCGTCAATGGTAATACGAACCAGGCAGATCATGGCTGAAAACAGAGCATATTGTGGCCTCGGGATTGCCCACTCGCAAATACATGCAGGGATACCCACCCATGCGCAACATGGCACTACAAATACCCCAATATTATACTACATTTTTTAACAGAGCAGCCTCTCTAAGCGCTACCAACGACTTCGAGCTCCTAACGACCATCGGGAACCGCAGTCAGCAAACTGCCAACCCGGTACGGTCACAATAGAAAGTCACAGCCACTGGTCAGTCCGATTGCCAAAAAGGTTAAGACAGTTAAATCACTGTGGCCCTGGTAGAAGAGAATCGGTAACCATATCAGGAACAGGAAAAAAACGATGAACCACTAGTCTTGTTCACAAGATATGGAAGGACTTTTACATTATTCGGACTATTAACCTCATTTTCATTATCATATTAACAACGTTTCGGCCGTTCTACGCTCCAGACTTCTTCAGGTGATTGGAACTTTGAACCGTATCCTCAAGGGCAATTACCTAATGATGTTGGTTAGATCCATTGCATTCACTTGGAAAAATGGTCGGCACTCTGTAAAATTCCAGTAAGTACCTCATGCTATCCTCTATCTTTACAAGAGTCATATCTGACCCAAAATGGAATGATGTTGACATATTTGGACGGGAGCTGTCCAAACCTCACTTTTCAGTCTTCATAGAATTCAAAAGCGTCTCCGAGTCCTTGTTGGAGAAGAATGATTTCCCACCTTCCAACCTCTCTTTCACAGGCGGGATGTGGCGAACCTCTCACTGCTCTGTCGCTACTTTCATAAAAAATGTTCGGACCATTGTACATTCTTTGGGTCGGCTAGGTCTAACCTTTATGACTAGGGCTCGCCATTCCACTTACATTTTCGTAATAGGTTTCGATAACTTTAACATGTTTTATTGTTAATCTTCCTATGTTTGAAATTGCCAAAGACTTGAGTTGTTAAATCTGAAAGAAAAAGAAAAAAATCATTGGACGCTTAAATTTAATTCACATTTAAAATCAGTCCAACACACTTTATATATGATTTATTTTGGCAGCAAGATTTCTCCAAACACATTTGATTAAAAAGAACCAACAACATCTGACAACATATGTATATATGTTATATTACTTTTTGATAAATAATTCATGGATATTTTCATATGGACGGTGACAGCATATATACAGGGTGTTTCATTAAGACGGAGTATATGCAAGGGTGTTTCATTAAGATGGATTATATGTAAGGGTGTTTCATTAAGACGGATCAAAGTCAACAGTAAATAAATCAGTGTTATTGGTGAAAATTTAGTTATTTCTCTATTGGATAATATTATTTAAATGATGGCAATTATGGCAATAATATTGCCCAAATGTCCGCCAAGGCTTCGGCAGCACACCTCCACTCAATGGTCAAAATTTTTGATGATGTCTCTGTATAGATGCTCCTCGATCTCAACAATATGTCTTATCATCTCACCCTTCAGCTCTTGAATTGTTGTTGGCTTGTTGAGATAGACTTTACTTTTGAGATGACCCCAAAGGAAGAAATCTAAAGGCGTCAAGTCGCACGATCGTGGTGGCCAATTGACTTCGCTGAACCGAGAGACCTCTGAACTTCTCATTCAAATTCTGTTTGAACGTCCATTTTCGTAATAGGCTTCGATAACTTTAACACGTTGTTTAATTGTTAATCTTCCATAGTTGAAATTGCCAAATACTTAAGTTGTTAAATCTGAAAGAAAAAGAAAAAAAATCATTAGACGCTTAAACTTAATTCGCATTTAAAATCGGCCCAAATTATTATTGGAACACCATTTATATTTGCTTATGTCTATGGAGTATTTATGTCATATTAGGGCGGGAGCTGCCCAGTCCTCCCTTCCCTGTCTTGATAGAGTTCAAAAGCGTCTACATGTCCTTGTGGGTGTCGAATTATTTTCTACCCTTCAACCTCGCCCTCACAGGCCTCTGGCCTAGCGAGCCTCTTACTGCCCTATCGCTACTCCTACCATGGAAAGTGGTCGGGCGAAGTACATTGCTTGGGTCCGCTAGGTCTAACCTTCACGTCCAGTACCCGCCATGCCACTAAATTGTATCAAAACACCGACATTTTCTCCGTACCCTAACTACCGCCAGTCACGGTGAACGGGTTTACGCTCAAGGAGACATCGTGCTTTGATAGATTATTGAGCCCC